TTTTAGTATATATTATTATGTAGGATATTTCAATCGAAGCTAATTTACATTTAAAATACATTGTATAACGGCATTTTTAATATGTGATAAAAATGAGAAAATGATCGGCAAATGATCGGCAAAATGATCAACAAATGTGATAATATGAAGTATGTCCACCCTGCTCTTGGGACCATAGTGAAAATTTGAAAAAAATTGCATTTAAGGAGGATGTGCATTTAAAGAGAGAAATTTTGTATGATCCTTATATACTTGGGGCTGTGTGGAATATGCATTTATAGAAAAAATATATATGCATGCATTTAGGGAGGATGCATTTAGAGAGGTCTCACTGTATACAAGAAATTTTTTTATAATACAAAATGCCTGAATTTAAACGAGCTAGAAAGAAAATTTTAACACAGAAAAGAACCATTGCAATTCATAAGATATGATCCAATTAATATACAATCACATACAAATGAATTTTTGAATCCATGTTCAGCATCAACTTCACCTTGTACACCTGTTTTTAATTTAATTTCATATTCTCAACAACAACCCTCTATTCGTATATTATCAACTAAAAAACATACATAACCAACAAATCGAAATAATAGCTGGGTATGGAATTATGTTGAAAAAAATGTTATAAATAAATATAGGCATTGTAAAGTTTTAATAGAAAAAGATGGTAAAAAAGTTATTTGTGGAAATCGTTTTAAACCTTCCTGTTCAACAACTAATATAGGAAACCATTTAAATAAAGTTCATCGAATTTTTTTAATTAATAATTCTTCTGAATTAATAAAAGATGAGCAAATTCAGCAAAATTCAAAAGATAATTTAGAACTATATAAGCATATGGATAAGGAATACCGATATATTATAGCCAATCTATTAAAATGGATAATCGAAGATTTATAACCTCTTAATATTGTTAATGCTCAAACATTTATTAATTTATGTAAAACATTAAATCATCGATTTCCCGTTCCATGTGTTAGCACAGTAAGAAAAAAACTAGGAGAATGTATAGTTTTTGCTGAAGATCGTTTATTTTATGAAATAGAACACTCAATAGAAACTTGTAGTTTCACGGTTGATCTCTGGACACAATTTCACACACCATATATTAGCATAACAATCCATTGGTTAACATCTAATTTTGAACTTCATTAAGGGCTTTTAACAATTGAAAAATTTCCTTATGGACATTCTAGTGATAGAATTGCAGAATTTCTATCTAAATTATTTGAAAAATGGAACTTAATCGACAAAGTAATTGCAGAAGTTAGTGATAATGCAAGAAATATGATAAATGCATTTCAATCATTTAATTATCAACGTATTAACTGCTATTCTCATACTCTTCAACTTGCATTAATAATGGTCTTAAAGAATATAATGGGCTTATTACTAAAGCTAAAATACTTAATAATGCACTTGTTTGTCGAGATAAATATCGCGAAACTCTTCGAAATGTTCAACAATTAATTAACAAGAATAATTCAAAGATTCTTGACCCAATTCAGGATGTTACAACAAGGTGGAACTCTAATTATGCTGTATTACAACGACTTCTTTTCCTTAAAAATGCAATATATTCTTTAGTAGCAATTCTTAAAAATGATTCAAATTATATAATTCGAAATGATGGAATCTTTATTATTAGATAATAGTGAATGGTCTGCATTACAGGATTTATTAAATTTATTAAAACCCTTTGTTCAAATCACGGATATTATTGGGGGAAGTACATATCCAACATTAAGTATGATGTATCTGGCATTAATCAAACTCAAAACACATCTATCAATTTTAAGTCTAATAATAATCAAGTAGCAGTTATAATAATCCGAGTAAGAGATTCTATTGAAGAACAAATATTAAATCGTTGGCAAGATATTTGAGTAATGGGTTATTTTGCTTCATATTTTGATCCTCGCTTCAAAAATCTAAAATTTATAGATAATGAAAAAAAAAAAAAATATTAATGAAAGTTAAACAAGAAATGGAAAATTCAAATAACTTACCAGAAGCAACAAGCAACACCGGCAATTAATAGCAGAAATAATTTTTTTGATGATATTTATGAGGATACTTCTTCAATACAAAATGAAATACAAATATATGCTACAATGTTACAAATTCCAATACATCCTCTCAACGATCCTAGGTATCATAGCGAAAATCCACTTACATGGTGGAAATTACACAGAAAAACATTACCCATTCACGCTATGCAAGCACGTAAATATCTTGCAATTCCCGCCTCATCAGTTCCTTCTGAAAGGTTGTTTTCAGATGCTGGTAATATAATTACGGAAAAACGCAATAGATTAGATCCTGACTGCTTACACGATATCCTTTTTTTGAAACATAATTCAAAAATTTTTCAATGTATATCCAGAAAATTAATTTAGTATATTGGCAAGAAGCTGTAATAGAATTATATTATTGTATTAGTTTAAAGTGTTAATGGATTTTTAGTCTAATAAACAAATAATATATCAAAAAATTTCAAACCTTGTAATCGCGCTAATTTATAAACAATTTCTATAAAAATTAATGTATCAAAAATATTATAACCGAAAGAAGCTTTGAAATAGTTTTATTAAAAAAAATAAGCACAAGATCGCATTAACTAAATTAAGAAAATAAATTTGATCAGCCTCGCTCATAATACTAGTTTAACCAATAAAATTTAATCTTGTATGATAAATTCATCGTAAGACAAATTCATCTATTTTTCTTGTTAAAATACGTTGTGAACCTATTAAAACAAACAAGCCAACCTCCTATAGTACCAAGACCCGGCGATATTAACTCTACATTACAATCATCAACGGAGGCTTTATTTAATAAACTAATATATCTTTGAACTTGATCTATACCTGAATTTACTATTTTTCGAATCTTAGTAGCTTTATACGATTTGTTTTCTTTGCACCAATGATAGTAAATTCTTTCTAATAAATCAAATTCGGATTCCTCTTTTAAAGTGTTATCTAAATTAAGCATTGTTTTATAATCAATATCTCCCTTCCACTTTCCTTCTTCACCACTATATAAACCTAATAGCGATATATATTTTAACTCTAGCACAATATTAGATATTCCTCTACACATGTTTTCGCATTCACTATTGATAAAAAGATCAACAAATGCATATTTACCGTTGGTACTGTTGGTATTCATTAAACGCATTTCAGTGACCCAATTTTAGAAGGAAATAATTTTGCCACTGCCACTTGGAATGCAGCTTCATTATAATTTCTGAACTGTTTTATTACCATGTCTTTATGATGAAATTCTAGTAATTGTTCCACGATCAGTGAAATATTTCCTTCTAACATGGAGAGGACTGAATATTGTCAAAAAAAAAAAAAAACAGATAAGAATTTACAATAATGTAAAAATTTCATCACATAAAAATGAAATAATGCCAGCAACGAAGATCACATTACCTGATTCTTAATGACTTCTTTGACCTTAACAAGCGATTTGAACAGTTTCACTTCTGAATCATCGGGGTTAGTTTCCGATTTATCAATTACTAAAAAAAAATATTAATTTAAATATTGTATATTATTATTACAAAATAAAACACCGAATCTTACTTACTTGATTATTCCTCTTTATCAGAATGCAGAAGGGAAAACCGGTACGGTACAGTTCAGCTGATCAGTACGGTACGATCACGATCCTCCAAAATTTGATCGTACTGTACTGATTCTATAATATTATTGAGACCAGTACGGTACGATCATATATTCGAACAAAGTACCGTACCATACCGTACTGGTCCTATAATAGAAAGAATTTATATATAGGACCAGTACGGTACTTTTTATTATTGTACTGTACCGTACCGGTTTTCCTCCTCCCTCAGAAAACTAACTCCAGACAATTTATTCTGACGTAAAATTGAATAATCGTCATCATCGAGATGTAATATTTGAAAATGTTGTCGTTTAAAAAAATTAAACAACCCAGTTGTATTCAAAAGTTTAAAAGACTTCATTAGAGGGTGATGTAATGCTCCTCGTAATTAGTGAAAAGTCCTAATTTTTTTAACTGTTCTTTTTGGATTTGAACTTGGGTTAAAGCAAAGTCGTTCGATTATAGAAATTTAAGAAAAGTTCATGTCAATTTAAAAGAAAATAGGATGTTTCTAAAATAGGTAATCAAGCTCGATCAAAAATTGATTGCACGTGATCAATTAAGCTAAATCTACAGTATTTTTTTAGTTAATACCAAATTACCAAATGTACGTGATCATAATAAACATCACTCATCACCTCTACACCTTTTCGTATTACCTAATTACCAACCATTTGTCTAATGTGCATATCAGATATGCTTTTTCAGTTTTCATCAAGACGTGTTTCTCTGTTAAGGCGAGTTTAATTTTTTATTACTTTCAACTTAATCGTAAGATGATTAAAATCTGCAAAGTCTTGTGTAATCTACCTTTTTTTGTGGAGTATAATATATTCTCCCCAAAGAAGGCGAGAATGGTTCTTCGTTATATATTCATTTTATTGAGTAATAAGTAATCTACCTAGTTAGTTATATACAAAATTATATTTTTTAATATGCGGAAATTTTCGCTTAAAAGACTGGCTATACTCTTGATTATAATATAATACTTTATGATACTTTATAAGAATTATATGAAATCTTTTGTTGTATTATTTATTTGTATTTACACATATATTTTAAATTGTCGAAAGAAGATTTTCAAAATTTGCTTTTCGATACTGCGCCCGCGAGGTATTCTAGAATTATTTTCAATCCCTAACTGAATTAGGAAAATAGGTGAAGTATTTGACAAAGCAATTAAGCCGAAAATTTAATTTTTAAAAACAAAATGGAACACGAGATTTCTTATATAATCTATTGGTTTTAACAAAATAATAAGAGTACTTGTGAATTCTATAATAATTTTTTTTTTTGACTTTTTAATAAATTCAATAAAATGGTTAATAAAATTTTTACATATCAGATAAGTAGAAATTCGAGCAGTAAAATCAAACAGTAGTATAACTATTAATTACGTTGAAATCAAACGTAAAATGCTTACGAAACTTAGTGGAATAATACTTGTAGAACTGGCTTAAATCAGTCTTTGTAACCGGCCCAGTTCAATTGAACCTAATTTATTTATAGATCAATCATTCAATCGTTTGACGATTATATAAATACCGTATATACATAAATTTATGCTCACAAACTTTTTACTTTTTTTACATATTTAGAATTATGAATTTTTCCAATGTTATCTATATCATTTGCTGTATTCCGTCATGACATTGTTAAAGTATTATAAGTATCAAGACCCCTTAATTTTCAAAACTTCTTTTTCAAAACAATTTCTTTCTCAAAATAAAACTTGCTCATTATTAATATCACTTTGAAAACAAAATCATCGAAATGGAGCAGTCATTCAATTGTTGCATACTTTTAAGCAATACTTCTGGCACTTTTACATTTGGAAATTTATCGGTTGACATTTTCAATAACAATAATAATAAATTTGTTGATTTTGTTGATAAAAAAATCAGCTTAAACAAATTCAAAGTTGTCCATATTAGAGATCAAATCTGTCGAATAAAAAATGTTGCTATTTCTGATAATATGAAACTTTGGAAACTTAATGATATCAAATATAGAGATATTCACGGTCAAAATATTTCTACCAATGAAGACGTTGTACAAAAACTTCATGGAATAGAAATGGAACTTCATGAACTTTTTGAAGAATATTTTCGAGATGAAATAGATAATCCAAATTTTGCAGTGTCTAACATCCATATTATCACTATAATCCCCACCACTGGTAAGTGTCTCCCATTATTTTACCTCTCGAACAAGATATTTCTTCATTTATTTGCTCATTATCAAATCGCTCCCAAAAAATATCATTGTAGGTCAACTTGTTGGAATTAGCAAGTCAGTTGGATCACTTGAGGAGACCTTGTCCGTTATCTTACAGAACATACCAACTGAAAAAATTAAAACATCAAATAAGACAATCAAAATCCCGGAAAAAATGCCACTAAAGGAACGTGATATTAATGAATCATTGATGGTATTTAACAGTAATGTTAACAACTCTTTTGATCCAACAACTTCCAAATCGAATTTTGACTTCCTTGTCTGTAGCGGGGCGGCCGGAATAGGTACTTATTTTGTTTATTTGTAAATATATATAACTCAATCACCATTAACCTCACATGTTTATCATCAGGTAAAACCCGTTGGGGAAAGGAGTTCTTCAACTCTATTGAACGAGATTGGAAGCCACCATCGAAACCACAGGATTGGGAGGACAACTTATGGAGTTGGAAAGAACCACACTTTCTCTATCTTTTTCTTGATTTTGTAAATGGTGTTCGCCTTTCTGACCTTGATGTAAATCAGTCAGCATCTATCATTCTTGGGCTTAGGATAGCCTATGACTATTTTGCGCGTGATAAAATGTCATTTGAAGCCTTTCAGTTTCAGGCACTTTACTTTATTGATCGTTTCAGAATAAATTGTGTGCTCAGTTGGATTCAAGAATCATTAAATCTTCGCCCTGAACAAAAGCTCATAATAATTCTTCACATTGATGAATATCAAGAAATTTTCACTTTCGAAGACAATTGGAAAGCAGGACTGACCGACAAAGGACTTTTTAAAGAAATTTTGTATGCCCTCGGACCTTTGATGATAGATTCTAATATCAAATATTATGTTCAAACATTTTTATCAGGGACAGTAACACGAGATGTTACCAAGAACTTTAAACCAACAGAATATTCCTTCAAATTTGTTCAGTGTCCCCTTTTATCAACTAAATCAATTATTGAAATAGTTGATTATTTTGCTAAACAAGTAGATAAAGAGGGATATTGGATGTCCAACACCAAATTTTTACAGCTTTTGTACGATACTGGTGGACTTCCACGAGCATTGGAAACTGTTCTTGAAGAATGTTACAAAAGAGAATCATTCTTTCTAAAACTGAAAGATAAAAATTTTACTTTATTTAACGATATGTTCCATGCTATAATTAATAGCCTAACAAAGAAGTATAAATTAGACAAGTTTATTGGGAATAACCACAAAGCTAGTTATCAGCTTTTGTACTATTGCATTGGAGCCATTCCAGTTCAGCTTGATACAATTATCAGTAAGGTGCCAATGGTTTTGACGATAGAAAACATGGAGCGCGATGGATTTTTGATTCTAACTAGTGATGGTCCTAATTACTTGATTGAAATGCCTTTTTACTTTATTTACATATACAATACATGGTTGAATATAATCCCTGCTACTATACACAAAACGTTCCAGCCTGACTCAAAGATGGCCTGGGATACCTGGGAGATTTTTGTAGCTAACTATGAGATATTTCGCAATAACCTATTGGTTGAACTAGAGCATTATAAAGAAATTCCTTTGAGGAAATTTTATCGCGGAGCAATCGGCAAAGACTCTGTTCTGAACATTTGGATTAGGCTCGAAAAGCTTGACTTATGTGATGCAAAAAATCAATTTCCAAAAACTGGTCTTCCAATTAACCGCTCAAACAACGAAGTCATGAAGCTGGATGGCTTGGTCTTTATAAATGGCCATTCGGCAAAATTTGCTGATGTCTTTTTAGTACGTAAAACAGTTCCTGAAAATAAAAATCTTATTATAGGGTTCCAACAAAAATGGTACACTACTTCGAAAGAACTTACTATAGATGATATAAAAGATGAATGTAATAAGAACAATAATGCTTTCAAACATACAAAAGATAGGGATTTGAAGAAATTTCTTAAGAAATCTATTATTGTGACTGTCATCTTCACATCGCGACCATTCAAAGCGAACCCCAAAGATTTACCAAATAACTGCCTGGTTATTTCAAAGGAGAACTTCAAGCAGTATTTTGGCCCCTTGTTTTCCTCACGATTGACTTTTGATATTATAAATAATCTCAATATCAATTCCGCAGAACCCAAACGAATCGCTGAAGCGATTAATGGGATTGGAGAAATTTTATCTAAGGCCATATATGACAACCGTCCTTACAAAAGTGTAAACGATCTTATTGAAAAGAACTTAACTTATAAAGAGCAACTTGAGAATGCTAGAACACAGCTGGAAAATTGCTCATACGCTCCATATTCATTCTTTCTAGATAATGAGCATGATTTAATGATGTTAGATGAATGTGATTCATACTCAAATTATAATATTTCTGATATAGACATGGAAGTTGACTTATGAAATTTGGCAAGATGAATTTACAACTATACTACGCATCTGCAAAACATTAATACATTTGTAAAAGAAATTTTCCGTATTTTTTTTTTTTTTATTATACACATTATTTCTCTGCTAGAATCAAATATATTTGTTTATAATAAAAATTTTAAAAAAATGGGTTAATAGCATATAATTATATTCGCATATAAGCATGCAAAAATAAAATTGGAATTGGTGCCAGTTAATTAATAAAATAATTTTGAAGTAGCGGATATTTCAAGAGAGAAAGTGTACTCGAGTAAAGCAATAATTAGCAGAGATAAAAAAATAAAATCAATACTTCTGATTCACTCTTACCTTTATCTTTCTTCACAACCGTTCCTTAACGTATTATACCGAATTAAGTATGAGTAATATTTTTCATGAATTTATAACAGTAACACGAAAAAATAAATACTTTATTGATGTTAAAATAACGCAACCTACTTTAACTTTTATTACAGAAAATAGAAGTGTGAAATTGGTCCAAATAAAAGAAATCCTTTAAGTTCTGTAAGGGATTGAAGCATTAAGTTATATTTCTCAATACTGCGCCAAATTCAATAATAAGCATTTGATGGACTTGCAACTAGTTGATCAGTTGATAATGTTCTTTTATGTTTCACTTGAAAACTACCACACAGGATGCAAGGATGCAATGCTCATACAATTCTCTTTGGAATGATTGTTACAAAGTAAATGAAAAGGCAAACGTTGATAAGTTTACACATGAGAATAATAATAAATATATGACTTTAGATTGTATTCTAAAGATGCTTTAGAATTTCTTTATATAAACTGTATTCCGGGGGGTTTGTAATCAGATCATGTTGAATGGCAATGAAATTGCTTTTTTTATTTTATTTATTTAAGAATTAAGGAAAAAGTAAGTCTTTTATCTATAGAAGACCAAATCACGAAGCTTGCTTGCACTTTAGAGAATATTATTTGTATTAATTTCCCATATATTCTCCTGCCCCCCACTAAAATTATGATTAAATAAAAAAAAAATGAAAATGGGGACGTGAGCCGGGAAAATCACATGCAAGATCATATGATTTATATAGTTCCAGACTGAATACCCCAAATGTTCTATATCTAAAATTCAAAAAATGTTCTTCAATCATTTACAATAAATAATAATACACGTGAGTTTAATATAATAAATTAAAGACATCGATGTCTTTCGAATTTGATTTCATCTAAGGTAATGAAAGGCCTCGATTCCTTTTCGATGGATAGTTTTTGTATCCTTGTAAGTAAAGATTCCAAATTATGGCATCTCTTTATTCACTTTAATTGGTTGCACTTCCTTTTGTTTGGATCGAATATTAATTGGCCAATTCTGCATCCTCCTCACTCAATGTCATCATCATCTGGTGGTACAGCAAGACCCTTTACAACAAAATATCTAAATAGGTCGCCTAAATAATTTTTAAGAAGGATAAATTTAAGAATAATTATCTCAACTTTGCAATAAAAAAAAAACAACAAACATAAATATAAAATCAAAACAATAATAATAAGAATATATTAAAAAGTATCAAAATAAAATGTTTATCTATTATCATTCCTTGATACATATTCATTTTAATAAGAAAAAAAGTTGACAACCCTTTTTGCGATCCTTACTATACTAAATATCATGTATATATATGTGGCCATTTTTTTAATTTTTTTTTTTTTTATAAACAAAAAAAAAATCTCACATACAATATACACTTTTAATTTACTATGTTAAATTATTGTTTTCAGCGCCATTGCTTGTGACGGCACTGGTTCCATTTTGATCACTTGAGGTAGAATTATTTTGTTCTACTGGAACCTTAATTGCGGTGGAAGTGTTGTTCATACCCATTTGCCAGGACGGAATTGATGGTCGACCTATCGCCACTCCAGGAAAAGGCGACGAAACTGATGGAATTGTAGGTGATGTCGTCGTCGTATTAATAAAGGGCGTTGTTGTTGAAGATGATGAGGATAATGCATCGGCTATAGGTGATCCGGTTGAGTTAGAACGTCGATTGAGTAGAAGAGATTTTAACGATTTAAGTTCTTGTTGTACTTCTGAAAGTGATTGGTTTTGAGTATCCTTGGTCTTTTCAAGAAGCTAATCGATAAAAAAGATATGTTAACGAACATATTTTACCAATAATTTAAATCAATTTCATAAATATGGCACCTTCGTTATCAATTCTCGGATAGCATCCATATCTTCCTTTAAAATTTTTAAATCTGCATCTCGTTTTACTTCTTGTTGTTTAATATCACTCATCATTTTATCTAGAGTCTCTAATGATTCTTTTACTTTATATACTTGTTCCTCGATAGTTTTTTTAACAATTTGTGTATCTGACTTCACATCATTAAGTGTCTCAGAAGCAGCATTGAACTGATCATTAAGTGCTTGTTTATCCATTTCAAGTTCTTTCGCTGTAGGTGTTTTTAGTAATGGCAATATATACTTCTATATAGTGAAAGATTCATTCGTCAATGAGCTACGTGATCAATTAATTCCTTGAAAGAATCAAAAAAAAAAAAAATATAAAATATAAAAAGAATAAAAAATAAAGGGTAACCTTTGTGACTGCCACTATTGCATACCCAATGCCTCCAACAAAAACTGCAGCGATAAAGAAATCTCGCCAATCCATTCTTGGAACTGGAGGTGGTTGCGTTATCATCACTTGTCCAGAACCTTGAGAGGACGGTGGAGGTGGTAATGGCGGTACAACGCTCGGAGAAACATCTTTTACTTTCTTTAATGCTTCCTCAATTTCCTCTGAAGATAATCCTTTAGATTCTAAAAAAGCTACCCGTTTTTGTAGTGGAGAATTTTTAACCTGTGGATCCTTAAGAAAGTTGACCGCTGACTGTACTAGTTCTTGCCGAATAATGGACATTATTAGATTGGAAAAAAATAAAAGAACAGTTGTAAAAGTAAATGTTCAAGATATTTAATTTTAGATTATTTATCATCTATTTGAGGCTGACTGATATTGCATATTTCATCAATTATCAGTAAAGATCGACAGGCCTATCTGATTTCTGTATCCAATGATATCATTTTGATTATCATTTATAAAGTAAAGTAGTTATTTTATAGTTGGGGAAACAAAAAAATGTCCGACTTGCACTCTGGAACATCGTTTGAACTTACACCGAGCAACCCTTCCAAGAACGATTCGACTCGTCTAGTCAAAGTTCATCCAGAAACGATAGGCTCCACTAGTTCGCCACAAATAAGAGCAAAAAAACCACCATACCCTTTATTAATTCCAGCAGTTCCAGCTCAATCGTCAAATTCCGGTAATCGTACGAAACCTACGACACCTTTGCGAACGACAAAAACATCGCAGAAATTGGTTTTATTACCTGAAGAAGCTTCTATACCAACTCTCATTATTGAAGAGACTTCTGATGATGCCGAGACACCGGTAACTCCAATAATTCCTGTTCCAGCAGCATGGGATAGTACAAACGCTGAAAGAATGTCGAAGGAAGTTAGGGACAATAAACATTATCCTAGGTAGTAAAGTAATTTACATATATCATATCGTTGTCTATTTTTTTAATTGAACTTTATTTTGTTCTAGGAATTTTTGATCCATGAATGTTATTATTATTATTTTATTTTATTTTTTTCTAAAGAGTAACAGCATATTGCACTGCAGAAGGCTTTTATCTTGGACTATTAATAGATTTCCTTAAAAAAAGACATAATGTTCATCCAAAGTATTTTAATGATATATAATAATAATCTTTGATTTTATTCAATAATACCATCTGATGATTTTATGATTCGTAATATAGGTTATATGATGAATGTTTATATGCACCATATCATTTTCCTTTAGTTTCTGGAAGAAATAGTAAAATCGCATCATCATCTGCTATAAAGTCCCCGAATGGATACACGTTTATGGATAGGCAGATTGAGAATTATGAAAATATCAATGATATATCCCATTATTTTACAGTTGAAGAGGGAGAAGCAAGCTCATCTACAACGAAACAAGCAGCTCCTCTAACTAATATTGGTGAAGTATTTTACTTTGATTATGGAGTTGTAGTAATTTGGAACTTCACGGAAGAACAGGAGCATTTGTTACTTCATGATATTGATGAATTTAGGATTTCAGCACGTCCTACAAAAAAGGACGACATCGAAGTTGAAACATTTCATTTTCAGTATGATATTGAATCCAATAGACAGCCCAGGATTTTTAATGATATGATAACGTTAAAGACTGATAATCATATGATCAAATTAACGATTAGCCATGCAATAAGTCAAAGTACAAAGCTGACATTATATGAATGGCAAATGGAGAATACGATCGAGAGGACACGGCATATACCAAAGATGTTGGCACAAACCGGAAGATTAAATTTGTAAGTCTCGAATATTATTCATCTTAGTTTTATGAGCATTGTTAATGAAGAAACTAAAAATGGTTTCTCTTTTGATAATTAGAAATCGAGTTCAGGTTACAAAATTGAGTGGAGAAATGTTCAAGCTGCGTATGAATGTAAATCTAGTATCTAACGTGTTAGGTAAATCTTTCATTCACCCAAGTTCAAAATGCGTAAAATTCATTAGCGTATTTTAGCTTATTAATCAAACAAAAAAATCATTTATTATTAGATACACCGGAAATTTTTTGGTCAGAACCATCCTTACAACCATTATATAATGCTATTAGATGTATTTATTAATTTTTTTTTTTAATTTAAATTTTGGTTTCTATAAAAAATTTAATAATGCTTGCAATATTTTTTTTTTAAAAAAAATTAGCTTATCTCGAAATACCTCAACGCGTGGACCTTTTAAATGAACGATGTAGTGTCATTAGTGATTTATTAGATATGTTGCGTGAGGATATTGGCAACTCGAATATGACGAGAATTACGTGGATTATTATCTGGTTGATCGTTGTCGCTGTCTTCGTTGCTATTGTATGTATTGTTTATATAGTTTATTCTAATTGCAGGAAGATTATATTATTGACATTTTCTTTGCCTTACATGTAGGGTGAAATCGCTGTAAAAGCATTATATTTTTATGGTTAGATTGTATAGTATTGTAATTTTAAATTAGAAATTGTTGATAATTATTTTATTTAATTTAAAGATTTCTCACTTGAGTAATATTATTAAAATGAAAATTTCAAAAAATTTTGATTAGGATTAGAATTGTAGAAAAATAAAAAAATTAATAGCATTTTAAAATTCAAAAAGACAGGTAAATCAAGTAAGGAAAATCAAAACGAAACCAAAAAAAGGAAAAATTTAAAATTGTGGCGTAGCTATACTATATAAATCATGTGACTTGAAAAAGGCTAACCTTTTTTTTTTTGTTTAAGTGTATATCAAGTTGTATTCACATGAATTAATAATACCGAATCGAATATATTTAGAATAACTTTCTTGAAATTCAGGGGCAATTCCAAAGGAATTGAGGTCAAAGGAAAAAAAAAAAAAAGTATTATAAAGAGTCAAGAAGTGAATATATTTTTTTTTACGTTATTCTTATAAAAAGAATTCCTCACCTTTTTTTTTTCTTTTTTGTTTTTGATTCTTTTTTTTAAAAATAAAATAAATAAAATATATTTTGGCTTGAAGCTTTTTTTAAAAAAAATTTCATCAATCGAAGATGTTTTTACACAAGACTCTACGGAATTTGATTTTACTCTATATGATAATTACAATCATAAATAATGCAACTCCTGTTGAATCACAGCTTTTACCACCATCAGCACCAGCAATTCCAACCAATAGGTTTTCATCTATTGCACCAACACCAACAACACCAACCTCATTTATAATCGAACCAATCATCCCAACCATCGCTCCCGTTCCAAAAAGTCTCCCACCATCAGGGTCAGGATCCCTTTCTGTAATATCGGAATCAAATTCGTTATTTACCACGAGTGATTCTTTAGGAAATACGGTGGTTACAAGTACTTTTATCCCTCGTCAAACTGTAGTCGTTGTTGATAAAGTTTATAAACCAAGTGATGATGGTGCTAGTTTGTCTATGGGAAATGTTCTAGATAATAAATTATTTGGTGTTGCAATCAGTTTAATTGTTAGTTTTACTAATTTGATGATGAATTAATCATTTTTTTTTTAAAGGAATACTCACTTTTTCTTGATAGTTATTTACTAAATATTCCAAAATAATTTAATACAACAATTAATTTACTTTAATAATTTATAATATAATGATTACTTTACAATGTAAGAAGAATACACTAAAAAAAAAAAAAATTTTAAAAGATGGTTCATAGTTAAAACGTTTGTAACAAAATCCCATCGCGTCATGCTTATCATAGGTAATGTGACAAATTCTGAAGTCGTCGTTAGATCCTTTTCAGTCGACTAAGCCTTTCGACTGAGTCGAATTAACATACCATAATTTAATTAATAAACATCTTGAATATTTAAAAATTTAATTAATGTTGCAAAAAGTATACAATTTTACAGAAATAAAGTTATCAGAATTCCATTCGGTTAAAAAATTTGAAATTTGTATTTAATTGAGAATTTTTGATAAAATATCAAATTCGGAACAACAGGGTCGACTTTGAATCGAACGGCTAGTACATGTATCACTAATTTCATCAAAATAATTATCAAAGAATCTATTCACGATGTATTCAGAAATTTGTATACTGTATTATATTCCCTCAAAAACTTTTTTATCACTTTCTTTTATTGCTAAATTTTTGTTTAACAAGAAAATAAAAAAAGATTAGTTATGCAAGAATTTTATCAACGTTAGTTAAAAAGATTATCTACTGAATAACACTGCTAATTATTTGAAGGATAAAAGCTATAACTTCATATATAAAATGTGGTAAAAATAACCATATGGAATGTTCCCAATAAATGCAAACGTTACTAAACATCTCATCCAAAATTTAGTTAAACACTAACCATGTGTTATTAAAAGCGGAATTCAAAACGAAATAGGATTCTGAAAAAAACCAAATAAGAGATATTAAAAAGAATTGGGACATCTTGAGCTAAAACACTAAACAAACCGAATATTAATCATATTGGAAATTCGTCGTTTCATCCCTTTAAATAACATCTTTATAGAGGAGGTGCTAAATATACAATTGCTTAAAGAATTAGATTAATTATTTAATTAAACAGCAGGTCAATGACATGAACACGGGTTAATATGTTTCGAACCGATTTAACCACAAAATCATCACCCCACGTGACATTGGCCGGCATAGAAATTATCCATGTGACAAATAAAAGTGACAATATGATTTTGCTCTGAAAAAATTACTAGATCAGATAAATTTTGCTAAATCAACGTAATTCAACAACAGTTATTTTAAAATTAGCAATCTTAATATATTATATTAATGAATGTCGATAGTTATTTTAATTAGAATAAATAATTTATAATTGAAATATTTTATCGGAATCTGAAATTTGGTATATGATTAAGCTTCTTTTATGACTCAGAGAACGTAATGTATAACCTCAAGGTTTTAGCAAAATCGAATTACTGGAAGTTACAAATCACATAAAAAAAAAAGAAATCGTGACATTTTAAACACTGAGATCTTTCATTACTTTTTAAATGATACCACAGAAGTAAGTTTATGTAAGGTTATGTAAGAGATTTTCCCATTTAGATTTGGGCGTGCTTTTACTTTTAACTGGGATTAGCTAGCACGCAATAAAAGTAACAAGTAAAGTAACACAGAAAGCTCAATTTTTTTTCAGCATTCTTTCCTCATTATCATTTCTTTTCAATTAAAAAATTAAAATTAACAACAATGAAAGAATATCCCATAAACGGTTTATCGTCAACAATTTCTTATGCAAATAATCTTTCGTCGAATATTCATGATAAAGATGATTATTTAAATAAAACAAATTCATTAATTAATAACTCTTCTTTTACTTTACCAACAAAAAATAATGATTATTATTCTATTGATGTATTTGACAATTCAAATAAATTCCAATTGTATGAAGAATCATTAAAATCCTTTTCTTCAACATCATCATCTGCGAATTCATCGACTACCTCGCTATCTTTACCTTCTTCTTCAACCTATTCATTGCCTTTATCAACATCAGATAAGCATGATCTTTACACGAACCATTATATTTACGAACCGTTATCAATGACAATTTCTGAACCAAAGAGACATCACGAAGGATTTAACAACAATTCCATTCTTAATTGGAATGTATACTTATCACCATTTATATTTTATTCATCTGGAAAAATTAACAGCATATGGAGATATTTAATTTTATCTGGTATTTTATTAGGTTCATTTTGTTATTTGGTAAGTTCAAAACCCTTTTTTTTCCTGCTTTCTGCTTTCTTTTTTCATTTTCATTTTTATTTTAATATCTAAATATTTTTTTTTAGGATCCATTCGAAGTGGAAAATAAATTCATTATCCCTATGAAATATCTTGCTACCTGTTTAATAATATTTTCATTAACCTTTGGAATCTTTACAATATTTGGTAAGAAAAGGTTTTTTGAAAGGTATGACAAAAAAAAAACCTTTATAAAGATCATTTCAATTAATTTATTATTCGTTATTATGATTAGTTCAAAATCTGACTAGTAGGAACAGGAAATATATCAAATCTCACGCCATTTTCAGCACTAATAATGATGCATCCCCATCAACTCACACAACACCTCAACAGCCACAACAGCAACATCAACAACCACAGCAAGATGGTACAAGTTCATTAAACATGGAACAAGATAATCAATTTACGAATAATACGAGAGAAGTCAATCATGAAAATTCAGCTGGATTTGTTGAACCAAAGTTTTGTTCAGGTGGTTGTTGTAACGAAAGGGAATGCGGTTGTACGTTAAGAAATAGTAATTTTAGAGATTGTTTTAATTTTTGTACGGCTGGTTGCTTGAATATTTGTTGCTTCGTCTGTTACAGGTAAACAAACGACTTTTTTTAATTTTAATTTTATTTATATACTACCTGATAACATATTTAAATTTGGACACGTTTTTATATTATCCAGACGAGATTAGAAATCTGATTGAATCACACAACGACAACAATCAATTACTAACATTTAAAAGAACTTTTTTATTTTTTTTTTTATCTCTTTGCTTTCGTTATTTGAAAAATTGGAATATATTAAAGCCTTTTGCTGATGATTATAATCCAAATCTTTTATTAGAATGAAATTGATAATATAAAAAATCGTAAGTATTTAATTTTCTGGCATACACCATCTTAATTGGCTTTTTTTTTCTTCATGTATCATCGGAATCAACAATTCGAAAGTGGATTTGATTTTATGTATTATTAAAAAAAAAAATTAAAAAATATTGTTTAATATATATAATTTACTAAATCTCGCAAAAAATTTAAAACATGAATTAACGCAACTAACTCCTAAATATTATCCATTAAAGAATCCACTAAAACTATCACAGCAATCTCCCCAAAATCCACACAAATTATTACAGCAGTCTCCCAAAAATCCACACGAATTATTACAATCGTTTCCCAAAAATCCACACGAATTATTACAGCAGTCTCCCAAAAATCCGCAAAAACTATCACAGCAATCTCCCCAATATCCACAAAAATCACAAGTATAAAACGAAGTATCAAAGTAATAGCAGCCATGGCAATTGCTATTGCCTCGTATGCCCTCGCAACAGCAACAAAAATCGTCATCATTATCATCATCATCATCGTCGTCAACATTTCTCGCATAATCTATCGTTTTAATAACAAACCAAATTCTTGTTATGACCAAGATGATCGCAGGGAAGGATAAAAATATTTCCATGATTTTACAAGTGTTATCAACCGCAACACTTATTGGATCATCTTTGTATACCATGTAATACGTTATTAAATGAAGTAAAAATAATGACGGAATAATGAAACATGTATTGTCTGCCGTATCTGCCAACCTAATTATTTGTGATACTTCGATCCATTCTGTGCTAAATGCCAAATAAGACTCCTTCTTAACTGATGTTCAAAAGAGTGCAAGAGAAGAAACGGTTTGGTTAGCGCCGTCTAACGCGTAAAATTGATGAAACGTAAGAGACACACTTACAGCACAGAACTCCTAGACCGTTATAAAATACGAAATTTAAATCATAATATTTCATTTGCAATAGATTTATTGTACGAACTATTATTTCTATTACAAAAAACACTATTATGTAAGCCTTTGCCAATGTCACATAACTACTTTGCACTGAGCTCTGAAATATGAAGTCATCGTACACAAATTAATCAAGCAGAAGTGATCCATGCATGCATCAATCATTATTAAAGCACAACTCACCTTATAGTAAAAATATAATAAAAGACCGCACCCGAATAACATAATAAAATTACACAAAGCGTTGATAATCCACATTATTAAAGGTCCGAATTTCTTGATTTTATCATCACCTAGATCCTTCTCATAATCATCAATATCCACCATAGGAATCCTATCATTCTCAATATCTATGTTAATATAAGATGATGGTAGATACATTTGTTTCCTGTTAAAAGGATGTGATGATGATGTGGAAGAATATTGAATTCGTCTCTTTTCATTTTCAGGAAATATTTGGGTACGTGGTGGGTATGTCATCACTGTTTGGGTATATTTTGGAAAATCCCATTCGGGAGGATCGTGCTTATCATCTTTAGCAAAAGATTTGTTTCCTTCTTTTTCGGACATGTTTAGTCAGGAAAAGATTAAAGTTGAATCAATTTTTTTTTTTTTTTTTTGTGTACACATACAAATTCCCGTTTTAATTTTCCATAGCTCAATTAATTCATTACTTTTTGAATAAAATACTAGTTTTTTTTTTTTTAAAAAAAAAAAAAAAAAAAAAAAAAAATGAATACTAATTATTTTATTCAAAAATACACAAATTGATAGAGAAATCTGAAAAGTCGGAAATTCATTTTTGTGGCAGAGTGGCTTTTATATTATACCAAATTAGACGGTAATTTTTTACTTGCACGTTCATCAAAAAAAAATTTCGCATTTTTAAAAAGAAACAATCACACACATATCTTGTGAACCGGCAAGTAATTAAAGTGAAATTTACCTTGAATTCTACGCCACAATCATTAATACAAAAAAGAACAAGGAATCTCTTATGGTGAGCTGTGATCGAAAAAAAAAATTCAAGTTGAAAATCTCGTCAAATTAACAAAAATAAAAGGTTAAAAAAGGGATACTTGGTTGAAAAGAAAAAAAATGGATGGTTTTTCAAATCGAATTTTCCGACTTCATAATTTTCTTGCTTGGAATTTCTTCAATTCATTGGTAAAAAGAAATAAAATAAAAAACAAAAAATTTTATGCATGTGCACAGCCCAGTTCCTTTATTTAGTTATTCCTTTACATCTTAAACATTTTTATTATTAAAAAATGCAAATTAGGGTGTTCACGTGCGGTTCTTTTTTTTTTTGATTCGCCAATTTCCGCGGACTAAATAATGTTGACCCATATTCAAAGAGTTCAAAGAGCATACAACATTTAGGTGGTCATTATCACAAGAAAGATTATCGAGAAGAAATGAGAATAACGAGAAAGTTGGAAATTATGATTCAAGCAGATCATTCGTTTGAATGGCAAATAAAGCACTATCAAAACACGAAAAGTTCTTTTGAATTCCAACCTTGTGATGTTTAAGCTGGTGACAAATGCGCTTCTTTGGCGAAGCAAAAGCACCAAATACATCTCACATGATTCGATGATTAATATTGTCTGACCACGATACTTCAAAATTGATCCAATCAAATTGTAAATTTATATTTGAGCGTCATCCATGTATAGTTACACATTTGATTTTCGTCCCTTATAAATACAACTTGAGCAAATTTCAAATTAATTACCCCTCTTTCTCCAAAAAAAAAAAAAAAAAAATTATCGAACCTTATAATAATACGCCCAACCCGTTATTAGCCAATCAAATTATGGCATCGGTTGCATCAAGGTTACCATTAGATGTTTTACGAATAATTTTTACATTTATTCGGAAATCCGGTAAAAATTCAAATAATTATGATTATAATACAAGACGTTATTTACATTCTTGTGTATTGGTAAATCGTTCGTGGTGTAGAGCTGCTGTGCCCCTTTTATGGAGAAATGCGTTTTATTACTTTAAGAATGGAAATGCAAAATTAATTGATACGTACATTTCATGTTTCGGTTACGAAGAGTATGAATACCTTGAGGAGGAAGGACTAGTTTTACACAGAAAGAGTTATGCAAGACCCGTTTTTGATTATGCGTCAATGTTGAAAAGATTAGATTATGACAGGTTTTGTCAATCCGTTGACGTTTGGTGTAGCGAATTAGAAAATGCCCCTTATAATTCGATATCCTTGATGATAAGGGCACTATTTAAAATGTTTCTCACGAGGTCTGTCATACTATTACATTTGGTGCTTGGTGAGTGGCTTTCGCGGAAAGGCACCGATTATAGGTATAAAAGGTTAATGGAACGAGAATTTAAAAATTTGTTGGAACCCGTAAGAAAGCTGAAGATACAAGGTGAATTCGTCAAGGATCGGGTCTTGACGGAACTGAAAGATTCTTGTAAAAATTTGGTAAATATCGCGCGCAAAATTTCACCCTGCTTTTTCGTCGCTTGCTCACGTGACTGTACTCTGTCTTCTTCCTTAACCAGTAAATCACTTTTTTTTTTTTTTTTGTAGGATAAACTATTCGTGTACCTTCAAAATTCACCACCAAATTATTTCGAAGAATGTGAATCTTTAAGAGAATTCGTGAACAAGCAAAATCATTTAAAATCTTTCAAGGTTGCCAACGTTTTACCAAGTTCAATCTTCTCCTCTTTATCAACGCAATCGAAAAGCCTTTGTTCGATTTATTTTTGGATGGTGGACTTTAGAAATTGTGAGGATTTATCTTGGGAAAACCTTTCCGCATGTAAAAATTTACGAAAATTAAAATTTAAGGATTGCATGGGATTTGGGGATAATATGTTTGAAGGCTTAACCAAATCTCATTTCCCAAAATTACGATTGCTCGCTATAATTGGTGATAATAAAAATGAGTACGGTGAACTTATTATTCAACCTGATTGGCAAGCTTTTTTAGATAGTCCTAATTTTTGGGATACTAGTACAATTGAAGAATTTTTAAAAATCCACCAATTTCAATCCTCTGATCAACAAACTTTATTGGAATGTCAAAAAATTATTGATTGGGGAATTGAACAAGGATCCGTCGTTGTGCTGGGAAGGTGGAGTCTTGCTTCCGCTCTTCAGAAATTTGGTCAGGTTATAAGAAGTATGGGTCGAGTAAAAAAAAAAATTTTTTTCCCTTCTTTTTTTTTATTTTGAATAAAATCATATTTGAAAGATTTACTTATAAATTTATTATTATTTTTTTTTCCTTCCTTCCTTCCCTCTAGGAATAACGTTGACATGGACGTATTCAGACGAATTTTATAATATCTATCGTCAGTATTTGCAAATAATGTACAAGTGGTCATAAAAGAGATTTATCAAATTATTTATCTTTTTTTTGATTGAGAATTGTAAATTGTATAGTAATTCAGTGAGTTGTTTTAATAGCACTTTTATATATATACACACACACGTTATAAAAAAAAAGATTTTACATAATTTTAAAATTAGGAAGGATAGAATATCATGTTATATACTATATTTTATATTTTAAAAGAGCTTGAAGGAGAATTTTTTTTTTTTTCAGTAATACCTAATTTGTAGAAATATTATCTTCTAGTAGAGCTCATGTTCGAATTTTTCGAATAATATCTCTTTTTCATCAATATTGTCGAATAAAGAAAAAAAAAATAATCAAAAATAAATTTTTTTTTTTGTCATTACTTTTTTTACCTTCTCTTGGCCTTAAATCTATATATATATATATAAGGATGCATATAATGCAAACGTAATTGTTTGCGCGTGTTAATAAACATATTGCTCCTTACATACATCTATTTATAATTTTGGACTATGAACCGAATATATAACGTAGGTTCTTTGCATATAAATTCAAAGATGGAAACCCTTTTTCCGTCGCAAATGACTTTGAATTATTAATAACTTTTGATTTCTAGTCATTTGGGTCATAAGTCTGATGCTGACTATAATGAAAAATGACTAAAAATATTTCATCCTCGTATGATAAATATCTAAATGAAAATGGATTCTGATATTTGAAATGGTCGAAACATGCATATTCAAAAGAAGCACCAGGAAAATAACCAGGAGATTAGATATTAAGTAAGAGGCATATGTTATCTTACTGTCGCTTTATCGTTGATGGTTACGTACCCGTGGTACGTGTGGCTAATTCGTAAAGATAAAGGAAAATTTGTTTTTTTTTTTTTGTAACGCGTTATCGGAAGATGGATTCCTGTTTTAGGAAATGTACCAGGAAAATGACCTCCTGGAACCATTTATACCAATTTTCTGAATATGGCGCAGTACCGGAACAACTGATCCGAGAATCTTCGCAATGGGAGAGATCTCATATTTTAAAAAACTAGATGAATTAAGATAAAAAAACAAATACCCGATCAGCTCTATTAAAAATCCCCAATATGAGATTATCCAAATTTGGTATTCAGGCTAAATGCGGCACGAAATTTGCAGATCTAAACTTGAAAAAAAAATAATAAATATTGTATATATGAAACATCATCAGAAAATTCTTTCAAAACAATCTTATAATACCCCATTGATCCTAAAGATAAAATATAAGATAAAATCACCATTATTTGATTGCATCTCGGTCAAGATAATCATAGAACACCAAAATATTATGCAAACCTCAATGATATACAACGGACATTGTTCGTCTGGTATTAGACGGGCAAGGACATGTCCGGACAAGTCCAAGATTATTTCCGCACATATTATGCCAAGGACAATTATTTTTTAGTAAGAAATCGAATGTATTACTCTTCTCGTTGATCATCAAATCCCCAGAGACGACATGAATGAATGAAACAAACCACTTTACATTAGATGTGAATCGATAAGATAGATGATGAGTTCCATTTCATCTTTTTGCTGTTGTATGATCACCGTATGCTGAAATAAATTTGATACTGGAACGAATTTCACAAATAAATTTACCATTTAAGGGATCGTCATAAATAAAAAAAATTATTTAAAGCAGAATTTTCATTCGTGGGGAGGCTTATCTTTATGTAACTTATCCAATTAAACGAAACCAATGACACCTATTTAGGGTGCATAGAAATTGAATGTTACGATAATCAATCTTTCACCTAATTTTTTTTCTTTTTTCTTAAAAAAAAAAAAGTAAAATAAAATAAGAAAAATTGCATGATTATTTTATCATATACCCGTCGATGTCCAAAAAGATATCTCATGGTATGATATATATGCAAACTTTCTTCTTTGTTAATTCATCTCAGGAAATCATTAAAGGAGTGATTCTTTGTTCCATAAAAGAAAAGTACCGGGACAAAAACTTTATTTATGGTGGTACAATTAAAAGTAAAAGAAAATTAATCGGACGGTTAAATAGGGATCCGGGAATGTCATTCAATCTTAATTTAAAAGAAATGTATATTTTATTAATTTGGGTCGGGTTTCCAACTTTTGGATTATGTTGCGCGGTGATCTTTTAACGATTGTTTTATAATCCTAACGAAATCGAGTAAAATCGATAATCTAAAAGGATATTCTTCTTTAG